AACAAAACAACAACAAGCGCGGCCGGCTGTGGCCGAGCCGAGTATAAGCGGTACATTTGTTATTACATTACATAATTATTAATAATAAATTAATATGTAAATCAAAACAACCCGAGGTATAAGTTGATATTTTTAAGAATTATCAATCAATAAACAAGAACATATAAAAGATCCATTATAGTACCTACATATTTACATTACCTACCTTTGACTTGGGTCAATTCTCGTAACTTGAGTTCTGCCTATGGTCATTACCTGAATCTAGTCGTTATAGGACACATTTTTGCGAAAACTTACTGTTTTTAACTTTAAACAAACACAAAAATTACCTATTATCAACACAAACTTCACAATCGAATAATATACTAGACATTGATAAACAAATACACTATTTGAAAAACCGACACATATATTTTAATACTTCTACACATATTTATGCAACTTTATGTTTAAAACTAATTCCTTATAATTTAAACGAAAACATAAACAAAGCGATCGCACATCTCATGAAAACAATATGGCCGAAAACATTTTAAAGTCATTACCCATCGTAGTCAATTGAGTGTTTATTATAAAAAAATTATAGCTAAAACATTAAAGCAACCCAGTGTTTAATTATAAAAAAACAAAACGTTAATTTACATAAGTCAAATGGAATTGCATCGTTGTCTTATTATTATTTTCCAATAAGAAACATTCGTTGATAATAATTTGAAACTTTGAGTAGCGGCAACTTGACGTTTCGATAACTTCCTTTTAACTTTTAAAATAATAAAGTCAACTCCTCGTTTAAAGTTTCTATAAAGCGACAACGCGTAAAAATGTTAAGATTTAATTAAAACACCTGAAACATATTTTTTTAGTATGCATAATTATAAAAAGACATTCGCATTATATTTATTCAGAAGTTTTAACAAAAAATTCAATAGATGGCGCAGATTCACAAATTTAAAGTCCGGCTAAATTGAATTGTGTAATAATTTTTTGCGTTTATGAATGGTTATTCTGTGCTGTGACCATAGTCACGTGACCTTCACGCATGCGCGTTGCATACTTTTTGTGACGTCACAACCAACAACCAAGATTTAAGGAATAGCAGCGCATGCGTGGTGCGTGCGGCGCGCATTCATTGCTTTACAAAGGCGTGCGGTCCGTGTATAGTATATGTGAATGTATATTTATGTTAGCCGTTTTTTTACAAACTTTTATTATATTATTGAATCTTAATAAACGCGTTAGTACATTTTATGTCAAGCAAAGCCTATTTGCCTATATGGACTGCACGCCACTGGTCTTTAGTGACAAAGAAGTTAGTTAAATGAAATTCCAAATCCAGCAGATTTAGTTTAGACTCAGGTGCTGATATATTCGTGATCTTCGGATCTAGTCCAACTTGTTGGTTTTCAGCCCAAATTCCTGATCTAGACCAGGTCGACATAACCTTTCACTAAGGCAACCGCGCGACTGTGACTGTACTCCAAGACATTAAAGGGTGTATAATTATAACTTTTTATTAAAATAAACTCTTTGTGACTCAAACGTGGTTTTTCTTATAACTGCCGAGTCGCCCAGTAAGAGGTACAGAGTAACATTTGTTTTGAAACTAGCAGAACTTTTCTAAGTATTTTCAAGTGCGATACCTGCGATTTTTAGTTACTTTAGCATACTAAAGTAACTATCGCAGGTTAAATTATTATGTTTTCGGCTTACTCACGTAATAATTTGACGAGGATACTGCTACTACTAGCAGCGTGACAGTCGCCGCGTCGCGGGTCGCGAAATGCTGCTCATGAATATGAGCCTCTAGCATGGCTTGAAACTGGTCGAGTTGTTCGTCAAATTATAATCGTGAGTAAGCCGAAAACATAATAATTTATTTAGTATGTTTCACGAAAGTTACATTACAAATATCGCGGGTTATTCGTATTATATGTCGTGAGATATATAACGATAGTTATTATAAAAAGAAATGAGTATTAAATACACTAGAAAAACGCTACGTAAACCAAAACACAAGATTAGTTTTTGTCCAATATTTGTGTATACGTGGTATCAAAACATTTCTACAGGAACTTTTAATTAAAAGTTTCATGCACAGAGAGGCGGCGACATGTTGACAGCTACAATAGTTGGGGCACACGTGCAACAACAGTCAAAAGGATGGTGGTTCGATTGCTAAATTGTTCCAAAGCTATATGGTTTTGAAATTCAAATTCTCAGTTATTACGGATGTATATAAGCCAAGTAAGGTAAGCGTCGAAAGTGAATGGATAGTACAGAAAAAATCGTATAAATGACGGTCGACATTTAGTTTAATTTTCGAAGAATTTAACTCGAACGTGCAACGGGAAATAGACACTAAGGTGTCCAGTCAATGTATACGGATGTAAGTGTTTCTGCTTACCTTTATGACAGAAATGCATGTGTTTAACACGAAAGTATATTAGGCAAATACGTATTTAAAACAAAATAAGTGGTGAAAATTGGGTTGTACGTTTAATACATAATTCTGGGTATGATAGGTGTCTGTTTCACCACCGTCAAATAAATATACATAACAGGAATATATAACACCACGTCTTTTATCCCGGCGGGGTAGGCACAGGTACACATTACGGCACTTTATGCCACTGTACAATGTAACACCCACTTTACACTATTTATGTTATGAGTCCCATGTAATAGGGAGTGAGCGTATTGCCGTATACCGGGAGCTACTACTGAGAATTTTTAAAAACCCAGTAATACTTTAATCATACCCTAGACACCTTGCCGGCAGTCGCATTTACGACCACTTGGCCAACGAGGCAGTCATATACCTCTAAATATCCAATAACCTTATGTATGTGGCATATAATTCATATAGGTTCATATTAAGTTTTTATTCTGGTACATAGCGGCTATTCAGACATGCGAAATATGCCTTAAATATATGATGTTACATTATGTTATACTATTGAAGCACAATTTTAGTGTCTTTATACGAACAATTCAAGTATTTAATGTTTAACAAAGTATTATAAATAGCGTTGTCGTGACCTGTGATTGAGTTAATTTATTTAAGCAATAAGTGTAGCGAAATGCGACCTTCAGAAAATGCAGACGACGGTACGTTGAACCTAATTGTTTTATCTATGTAGGACCTGTGAAAATATTGTTCATTGGGGAATTACATATTATTATTGTATGCACTAAAGATTGTGAATTAGGGAAAGATATTACCTGCAGGTGGAATTGCTATAATTTTTGTGAGTGTTATATGTATGTATATGTTTATGTTGTCTGAATCTGTCGAAAGGAAACCGAGGCTTATAATTTCTAATTGCAACACTAATAGAACGTATCATAAATAGCGAATAATATTTATTAGCATTTCCGATTTTTCTTTCAAGAAACACTTTTGAGAAAAGTTGTTTATATCATTCTAGTTAATGCCCGCGATTTTGTCCGCGTAGAATATGAATTTTAAAATATAAAATTATATGTTTCAATTTTCCAAAATAATAATATTAACCTATTAGTACATGAGCTACCTGCCTGAATAAAAGTCTTGTAAAATCGGTCCAGCTATTCCAGAGATTAGCCAGTACAAACAGACTGACAGACAGTAAAAATTGTATAAAGTGTTATTTTGGTATGTGTTTCGTATGTATATTCATACCCATGTAGAAAATGCGACAATGTTAATATTACAAACGGACACTCCAATTTTATTTATCTGTTAATAGAATCATAAAAATATTAGAAAGCTTCGCTCCAAAACAGTTTCTTTCGCTACACCAAAAAACAATTACATAAAAACACGTTCCGAACTAAACAAGCAATAAATTTACCATAACTGATGTTTCCAATTTAGTATTCAGTTCGCACGAAAAACGTTTCAACTCATTCGTAACCCATAACGCGAGTGAACGCGTTCATTTACAGACTTGCTAATAATCGTGAGGAGTTGTCAATCATTCGAGCTATGTCTGAGTCGATATATGGTGGAGGATATTATAAACATAATCACAATATCTATATCTAATACCTTTAACCCACTCTTAAACTTTGATTCGTTATATCTAAGTATTGTTTTATTATACAACATAATAAAAATACGTGTCTAATATTTTTTCATTATCTAACTGACGGACTAATTAGATTTTTAATTTTCTTACCCTATCAACTACTCAATTGTAATAAATAATCAAGAAGTACTAGGGTCCTATACGGCGAAGGTGTTACTACTCTGAAGGGTCTCAGCATGTAATTGGTGGCAGGTGACGCCAGGGTACTATGGGTACTATCAGATATTGTATGATGGATTTACCTTTTGGTTATTCAAGTGGATATTATACCGTTCTAGTGGGAATAATAACTGTGTAGACTGAACATATATTTTTCGTAGGCCTCTTATAGATATTGTACTGTTATTTCTTACCTATATGGTTGTAATTATAATAAATATGGTTGTTAATATTTGAGGTGCATATTTACGGCACTTAATGCCACTGTACAATGTAACACCCACTTTTCACTATTTTATTTTAAGTCCCATGTGATAGAGCCATATACCGGGCACATTTCCAGACTCCGTCCTACTAATGAGATTTCTTTTCAAATCCTGTAATACTTTGGCCAGATACCCCTTGCCCGGCACTCGCACTTGCAACCACTCGGCCAACGAAGCAGTCTTCCTACGCCTTCGGGGATAAAAGGCGTAGCAACATTATGTTATGTTATATTTGAGTTGTCTTTCACCGTGAAGGACTAATGGGGACTATTGAGCAAGGCAGTCTAAGGATAAAGAAGGTTTAAAATAAACAACAGCCCGTTATAATTCACTACTGGATTGGACTATTGGATTTCTTTACAAAAGAAAGTTTGTCATATCATACACATTTCACAGCTGGGTTGGAGGTCGCAATTAAAAAAATACTTCATATGTTTGAGTCGGAATCAATGATACTTATAATAACTATTTTTTGTTTGTTTCAGGTCAACGATCGCTGAACAGAATGTTTTCCTTATGCCGACGCTACAAAGATGATCACGGTAAGTTTATTTTAAATATCTAGTTTCTACCAGCGGCATATCCTGCGTTCCAATGCGCGGTTTTAAATGTGATGACAAAATATATTCCATAGACGTGTTGTTCCTAACTTTATATAATCTGTGTGTATAAATTTCGTTCAAATTCACTCAGTCCTTTTATTTGAAATAAATTATTTGCATAGAATGTTATTGTCTAATAATAATTAAAAATTCAATTGAGACATTCCTAAAGGACATCTGAACAGGAAAATCAATTTAAATTTCCACAAAAATAAATAAAAAACATACTCACTAGCACTTGTCATTTACAAAGTCGTGAACACTATAATAGCATTTAGTAACCAACAGTTATTTCAATGCTTATTTGAATAGGTTTAAAGTTAATTGTGTAATATCTTTTGGAATTTCGTTATACATTATGGGAGCCATACATACCACGCTTTTTTTTTGCTTGCGTATTATAAGATCTAATCAAACGTGCCCAATGTTTATAATATAAATTATCTTGAGGTACTTCTATCAATAAATACCGATACTTATAATTCAAAAGAAACGTGTTACAGCATTTATATCGAATACTATAGTATATTATTACATCGCAATATCCCCGACAAACCATTAAGTATCCTTGACACTATTTCGGTTGTAACACAACGCACTTATTGTTAATCGCTGTACAGTCTTGGAATACTGCCATTGAACATGTGAACTGTTTTCCGAACAGGAACCATGGACTATTGCCTTGTATGTTTTCTATACATTTAATAAAATCGTCGAAAGGTCAAAACTGTACACTGAATATTAAAAAAAATAATACTTAGGGCATAATCTACAATCGATACCGAAACCAAAAATATAGTTTTTAGAATTTTTGTCTGTTTGTCTGTATGTATGTCCGGGCTAAACTCAAAAAGTACTGCATAGATTTACTTCAAATTTGGCATGAATATTACAAACAGGTCAGGTCAACGTATAGGCTACATATAATTACGCTATCACCTACGGGAGAGGGGCTGTGAAGAACTATCCAAAGTCACTATTCCACACGTAGGCATCTACTAGTTAATAAATAATATTGAAAATAATAATATTGAAGGTTTACAATGTCATTCATCCATACTTACATACACAACTTCACGCCTGTCTCCCATGGGGGTAGGCAGAGACTATGGAACGCCAATTGCTGCGATTCCTCATTCGCTTCATCAACAGTCATCAATCTTTTCATGCATGCTCATCGGTTAAGGGTACTTTTAATTTATCTATGCGCAATTATAGCTTGCAATGGACTACAAGGTACAAACAATCTTTAATTGCTAGCTGATAACTGCATGATTCCAAACTCTTTTTTTGAAAACTCTTAATTAGTATAAGTCCTAAAACCTTCGCTTAAGTATTACAAAAACTTTTCTGAAAACCTCATCTAAATCGATTCAGACATTCGCGAGATAGTCACGCACAAACATACACACATATAATCACAGAGGGGTTCTTCCTCATTTCCTAGAGCAGCGTGCGCGGTCGCGGCGATGTAGGCTGCGCGACATCGCGCTAATGTAGGTTCGAAACTAGTAGAGCTTTTCTCAGTATATTCACGTGAGTAATCCGCGATTTTAGTTAATTTAGTATGTCTCACGATTATCTTATATATAAAAATGAATTGCTGTTCGTTAGTCTCGCTAAAACTTGAGAACGGCTGAACCGATTTGGTTGATTTTGGTCTTGAAATGTTCGTGGAAGTTCAGGGAAGGTTTAAAAGGTGAGAAAAAAGGCGGTATGAACTTTGCCGGGTCAGCTAGTTATTATTAAAACATAACATACATTTTATGTAGTTTCACACTATTTTCTATTCCAAACCCTACATTAGTTTCATTAGGGTATAAAATCCTGCCATTTGATAACAAATAACAAATAAACGCCTTTAGGCTCATATAGGCTCATTTTGAACAAAGCGTTTCGCACTTTCATTTTAATAATGTAATTATATTCATATGATTAAACTCAAAGAGCTTTGGGCTTCGGAGGACAAAGTTTGATGTCCTGTGGTTACATTTTAATGGGTTTTGGGGTAAATAGTTAAGTGGTAAAAATTAGAGGGCCCTGTACCCTTGATAAGGGTCTGCTATTTATGTCGATAGGTAGTTAAATAGTGAAAAGTAGGTATTATATTGTACAGTGGCATTAAGTGCCGTAATATGCACCTCTGTCTACCCCATTGTGGATATAAGACGTAATGATGAATAGCAATAGAGACTTACTGCTATAAATCGGGCATAATTTGAAACACCTCTGCGTATCTTATTATGTTTTAAACCATCAATACTAAAAGGGTATAATAACTACAAAATACTTATCGAATATAAGAGTATTTTGTAGTTATGTGGTCATGAATAATTCAACCAACAAGACTATGTAACAAAAAATTGATTGTGAACCTGATTGGAAAAGAACCTATGGAGTTTCTTGCTCGTTCTTCTCCATAGGTACTTGCACCTTGGAATAAGCAAACAGCTTCATTTTCAATGTTTTTGTTGACGTTCTAAAGTGCCTGCCTGGTCTAATTAGTTTTAATTTGACTTTGAAAAAAGTCCTCTTTTAAAGTATTAATGGTTTAAATCATAATAAGATACGCAGAGGTGTTTCAAATTGTGCCCGATTTATGACAGTAAGTCTTTAGTAAGTAAGTATTAATATTACAGTAAATATTTCTATTCATCAGCACGTCTTTTATCCCCAATGGGGTAGGCAGAGGCATATTACGGTGTTTAATGTCACTGTACAATGTTACACCCACTTTTCACTATTTATGTTGAGTTCCATGTAATAGGGGCATGGGGGTGAGCCTATTGCCATATATCGGGCACAATTCCAGACTCCGTGCTACTACTACTACTCGCATTTGAGACATATCGGCCAACGAGGCAGTCTCTATTGCATGGAACTCGTAACATACCTAATGAAATATGGACGTTACATTGTATAAGCGTGTCTCTGCTTACTGTTTATAAAATATGTTTTTTTTTGGGGGGGGGGGGATCATCCAATGACTTTTCCAACCTTGGATTAGGCGAGATGGAATGTCAGACTCTTACTGACTAAAACCACCCTGCTCCTGTTCCTACTCCTGCTCTTCGAGCCGGAGCCCCGGTAATCGGTTAGGCCTTCCGCGGCTCCGTATCATCAGGCCCACTAGGCCCCATCTGTGGTGTAATAGCTCTTAGCTTAGCATAGAATTTTAGAAGAGTCTATCAAATACTTTCACATCTATAATATGAGTTAGGGTACTTGTAGAATGAAAATTACTATTTTGTTCTCTCAATTTAGCCATTTTGTCCACACAGACGTGCATAAGCCACAATCTCAACTAGGCTGTAACTTAATTACCGCAGGGCAATGCAGCCGTTCATTCAACTTAAACAACAATTTGGACTTAATTCTATTGCTTTATTTTATTTTTCATAAATTTTTATTCATTTACTAGCGGTGAATCTCAGTTTTATTTTATACATTGGAATTCTCAATCGGGTTTTGCTGTTTTTAAGCTTTGCACATAGAAACATATGTGGTGCTTTTTAATTATCGAAGGGGGCAGTAAAATGAGGTAGAGTAACCTCCTTGCTACGTATTCTCATTTCAGTTTCAAGTAAGCTGGGAATTGTCTTTTTTATTAATTACAAAATGTATTCTTTTTAACAAAACGTTGCCCCACACTAGGATTTTCTCCCATGTCGTGGGTGCGTTTACAAAGATACAGTTTCACATACTAAATACAATTTCACCTACTAATTGCATATACTAAAAATGTGTGAGTGTTTTCTCCAGTTTTTTCACTTAATGTTTTCTACTATTTACCTAGTTCTTGTGTTGATTGTAACCTCTTTTTTAATCTTAAATCTTGATTTCGACTGCACGGTTGGTGCGGTGTCTATAGACGACCGGATTTTGTTCCAGCATGGAACAACTCATTGTGTGATCCGCAAATTGTTATTTCGTGTCTGGGTGTCATGTGTATTTTTTTTATGGGACATGCCCACCACAACCTCCCAAAACCACTGCAACGCCTGTAAGCCAGGATCTACAGTAGATACAACCATGAAAACACCGGAACACTGAAGACCGGCGCGTCCCAGGGACATGAATAACTGTCTTGGTTCCCGCAACGAAGTGAATCAGAAAATATTATAAGAGGAGAAGAAAAAAACGATAGTTTCCACTTCCCTCGGTGAATTACCCCTAAGCCCTAGCCTAAAAGCACAAAAAAGAGACTGTACAACTGTGTGAAGCCCAGTCGCCAAGCACTAAAATCTTCGTGGTGCTTGGCGAAAAAGTGGGGCCTATGAGTGAGCTGTTATATTTGCTTCCAATAATAGGTATGGAAAAATCGCCTAAACGCACGGAAATTTGTTCTAGATTCCACAAGGTCCGTATAATAAGCTACACCTGACGAAACAATTAAATTATTTAACATAGTGTTACGTTCATATTGCCAGAGATCACACTCCCAGAGTATGTGATGAGCGCACTGCTCGTATTGCAGCTCCGATGTCCAACGTTGTGTCATGTGTATGTTTATGTATGTTTGTAAACACATCTACGATACAGGAGCAAACCCGTTTTTTTTTTAAAAAAACCTGGACCTGGAGTTTAAATGCATACGTATCTTTCAATCTGAAAATAAATAATAATGGCCGCCGAAGAAATTGTCTCATTTATTTCATAACGGTTGAAAAGAATGTAAAAGGAAAAAATAATGAGTTTCGTTTATTAAACTCAAAAATTGTGAATGTAACCATGAAATCGTTCTGAATAACATAGTATTACGTATCTTATAAGAAGGGGTAGGCAGCGGAGTTCTTTATAGTACATACATGAGTTGCTTATTATTTTTGGATGTTTTCAGTACCTCTGTCGAAATAATCGAACCTGCTAAACATTATGTACAATTCCTGTCGTATGTTTTTGTAGAATTTTGGAAAAGGAAACCTTAACAAAACTTTACT